AAGGAAGACAAGCGCCAGAGGTGATAATCGCATAAATTTTTTTGAACATTTGCAGCCATCCACTATTAGCCTTGCAAAATTAGGAGTTTGTTGTCAAGACATTTGTGGATTTGTGCTATAAGTAGAAATGAAGTGCACCCTAGTTGTGGCCTGGTCTTTTATGTTGTAAGAACCCTACAAATCATATGATTGATGGCCCTGATATGAAACTGAATCTTGGAGGCCCAAAAATTGAATAATTATAACCACGAAGTCTCAATCTTGCAGGTATTCAATTGTTCCTTGAGCTTCTTCGCTTAAACATCCTTTTAAACATTTTTTCCTGTATTAAAACAAACTTTTGTATCCATACTACTTTATTTCACTTATCTAATTCACCCTGTTGCCTTTTCAGTTGTTCCTCCTGTTTCTTGCTTTCTTTCCATTGAACTGGCTAAGGAAGTAGACCATCAGACCAATTCATCATGAGGTCTCAGAGACCTGGTTATCACACTCCACTAAAATGAATACCTACTTGCAAAAATAAGGCCTGAAAGGTGAGGAAAATACAATCCACTGTATTCAGCATGAAGTGTCCTATTTCAGCAACTGAGACATAATCCATGTAATTTGTCAAATTCATAGAAGTATTTTCTATGAACCCTGAGCTAAGTTAATGTCAACTGGGCACAGAAATCTTCAATTATATTTATGTCAAACTGGTTTCTCATCAACTGTTGCATATCATGATGCAGCAATGAAGCTAATAGCAGGCTTGCAAGAGTCAGATATTATTTATGAATATCAGATTCTTCACTCTAACTAGGCATAAAGACACCTTCTACTTTTTTCTACTTACCATTGAGAGATTTAAGGGCTTTATCTGCATGTTTTCTGTTCATGAAGGCAACAAACCCACAGTTTCGGAGTCTAGCCCGCTCTTCCTCTGTTCTAGGCCACATGATTTTCACACTTGCCAAAGGGCCGAATTTGCCAAATTCCTTACAAAGCATTTCTTCATCCATCTAAAATAACAGCAAAGTTTGCCTCATTAAAAAAGTAATAAACCCCAAAAGCATGAAATGTGACAAGCCACAATAGAAACCTGAAGATACCTGTGGGTTTATGTTTCCAACATACAAGTTTGTAGTATGAGGATCCCCTGAATCGTATGATCCTGGCGTATCGTCAATCACTAGATATGATTTAAAAATAATGAATTTTGCATCAGAAATTGCATTCCTGTACTAGATACACAGATGCTTTGTCTGCATAATCGTAACTTATTAAGTATATTTACCAACTAATGCCCCTTATATAAATTAGGAGTTGCTTCAGACATAGGCCATAAAATAAAAGGGAGCAACAGCCTTTGATGACTAGATTTCAAAGGTACACAAAACAGGATTAATAAAGTACAAAATAAAAACTTCTGAGGAAGGGTCACTGGACCTGAAACATTAAATCTGTTTTTTTCTTCACAGATGCTGCCAGACCTGCTGAGCTTTTCCAGCAACTTTGTTCTTGTTGTTGTTGTTAATAAAGTACACTTTGCCTTCAATGAATAGTTCAATGCCCAATTCTAATAGATGACTGCGAATAAAGATAAGTGAACACTCACAGACACGCCTGTTTATTTGCTGTTCCACATCAGCAGGCATAGGTTCAAATCTACTTGGTCTTAAATTCCCTTCTTTATTCTTCTTTTTATTTTTATGTCTCTCTTCACGCTCTTCCTGAATCCTATATGGGTATTAAAACAACACCTTTCTAAATACTCATTACTCAATGTTATATTTTAAGAAACTGTTTCTACATTTTGTTTTATTCATTCATGGGATGAGGGCATCATTGGCTAGACCAGCATTTATTGCCCCTCCCAGAGGGTAGTTAAGAGTCAACCACATTGCTGCGGGTCTGGAGTCACATGCGCCAGACCAGGATAAGGATGGCAGTTTTCTTTCCTAAATAGCATTATTAACCACATGTGTAATCCCAACAACTGAAAATGGTTTCATAATCATCATTAGATTCTTGCTTCCAGATTTTCATCAAATTCAAATTCCAATTCCACTATCTGCCATGGCAGGATTTGAACGTGGATCCCCAGAACATGACCAGGGTCTCTGGATTAACAGTCCAGCAATAATACTGCTGGGTCATTGCCTCCCCTCAATTCCACCTTTTTTTAGAAACTGTAACTTACAAACTGCACTTTGCACCACTTACTGCTTGAGCTCTTCTTTGAATATTTCCAGATTGCTCTTCTTTTTCTCATCTTTCACTTTTTTATTAGTCTATTTGTGGTGAAAAAGAGGGGAAAATGTTACTTATGCTATGCAGAACAATTATGCTCAAGGCACATACAAATCCACACTGCAAAGTACTTTTTTTTTTGTTGTAGGCACCAAGCCAGTAGTGAACTGGTATTCCAAACTAAAAATGAATTTTCCAAAACTTCCAACACATTTCCTCAATTCTGATCTTAAAATACTGAAGTCTTTAGAATTAAGCTGCACAATCATGCTTTGAGAGAAAGTTTATCTCTTGCTTACAAAAATGCAGTTTCCTACAGTGTGTTTACATCATTCACTGTCCTGAAAGTTGATTGATAGATACAGAAAATACTTGCAGCCTCAGTATTTCCCCATCTACTCCTGCTTAAAGAAAGGATACGGTACAGAATTGTTTCTGCCACCTTGGAGGAAATGGTTAAAGATTCATACAAGTTTCCACCTTTAAAATACTCCTGTACTCTAGCTCTCAAGATTCCTATAAATGCTATGTCAACATTGGACCTCTCAGCAAATCAGGCCTTAAAAAATGAGGTTTTGAATTCTGACTGACAAGCATCAGTGCTTAAAGACAATGAAGATAAATATGACAGTATAGAACAAAACAAAGGTATCATTCAAAAAAAAAAGACAAATCATTCATTTGTTGTACACTGCTGAATTGCAAACAGATGTATAAGGAGAGCAGCATGCTCAAAGTACTGATTAACTTCAAAATATTTTCAGATAGACAGGAAAACTGATTGTTTGAATATCTTTTGAAAATACCAAAAATCCTTCTATCAGAATATTACCAGTGAACTTCAATATTATCCCAAATTAAACTGAAGGGATAGATCTTTTAAAAATCAAGGGCAGTAGTAATATTTAGGCATGAGTTTGACCGTTCTTGATACAGAATTTAATGTCATTCCTCCTCAAATTCTTACATGAGAGCCGCTTAAAATTTGTCAAGGGTTCTCTACATTCAAGCCCTCACTTGATCCTCGTCTTGGTCATGGGGGTTCCACCATAGTGGCTTCCACCAGTATCTCAGCAAAGCAACCGATCTCTACGTGTGAGCCAAGATAATGGGCTCTTGCAGGTTATTTAAATGTAAAAGCATCATACCTGAGGCTCATTCTATTCTCTTTGACCATCCGCATTCAAGTGTCTACACTGGGAATAACTGTGCCATTAGGTGGACAATTACTTTTACTGTGTCTTTACAATCCAGATAATTTAGCACAAATTTAAAAATCTCCAAGCTCTAGAAATTCCCTCCTTATGCTCCTCTGCCTCTCCTCCTGAAAAGTCAACACTTTAACTAAGTTTTTATCCACTCCTCCAAATATCTCATCTGGTTTCAACAGATTTCAATTCTCCAAAGGGCCATCACATTAATTACAATAACCCATTATTATACATAATTACGTACAGGTTTCTTCACATCAGAAGATGAAGTTGGGGTAGAAGGAACTTCTTGGTGTGGTGTTTTCATTTCACCGTACCTAGCTTTAGGCTTATACAGTTTAGACTTCCTTTCATCTCTTTCCTTTTCATCTGAAAAATTTCAAAAATAAATCAAAAAAATGAACAATCGCCAAAGATGTGAATTATCCAAAAGCAAGAAACTGACGCCAGAAATAAAATCGGAAAATGCTCTGCTAGTCAGGCAACGTGTCATAGGAGAGAAACATTTAACTTTCCGAGGAAAACATTAAATGTGTTGCTCCATCCACAAATGCATCCTGAACTTAAGTACATTAAGCAAACTTCTGAAGTGATGGTTGAAATTAATTGCTGCAATTATTACATAGGTATTGAAAAGACCATATTGTTTTTATTTTTCTGTATTTTTAATTGTAACCTGACATTCATTGTAAGTGCTGCTTACGCAGCTGCTTATTCAGATAAAGGTGGAAGTCTGGTTACAGATGAGCTACAGCCACGGGGCTATGTGTGAATGGAGCTTACGTGCAGCTTATTAGTTTATGGTCTAGTGACCAGTTATCGATGACAAAGGCCTTCTGCTTGCCCACAATTATAGGATTGGCTCCTAGGTAGGTGAACAGCTCGTGAGTGTGAATGTTTGAAGTAGAAGCAATCAAACGTTCACAAGAGAAGGTGTGTTTCTGCTCTGCATGAAAAACACATTAAGTCTGAAGACAGTTTATTTTACCCTTAGTAGTTCTGACTCTTAACCTGTAAGCCAGAGACTTTATAAGTGTGCACCAGCCACCCTGTACCTTTTGAACAACGTGGAAGTATCTGAAGGAGGAGGAGAATCAAGGAGCAGCACATCCTGACAAGCTGATAAGACCATCTCATTGACACCTCACAATATTTTATCTGTAGCTATAATCTATTTATTTGCACTAACTAATTTTTGCTGTTGAGTACAGAATTCTGATCTGTGCTTTCCACTAACCTGGGTCTGAAAGACAGGTAAAATGGGGAATTTTTGACAACTTTTAAAAATCTTTAGCTCTTGTGACAACTCTGGAAACAGGAGGTCTTGATTTCCAGTGCATTGTCTGAGTGAGGGGTAAAAATATCATCATTGCTGGGTCATGTCTATACTGTGAAGCATCTAAGCAGGCAACAAGTTGTCCATAACAGATGCTTTAAATAAAACAGGCTTTATTCTTACAACATGTTAAGATACAAAAGAAAAAGTTCACATTACCTTAACTCTAATGAAATACTTAACAAGATAACATATACTTATCTTCTTTTCCAATATAGGTAACATCCCATAAAGACCCACTTTGGCAAAAATTAAATTCAGCAAAACAGCTGTGAATCTCATGCGCTCTCTCCAGTCCAGAAGAAACAATCTGCCCCTTTTGATTTTTAAGAGGAAGCTTCACTGCCTAAGACTTCAATCCAGCAGAGAACTGAAGCTATCAAGCTCAGCAGCAGCAGCAGAAACCTTCTCACTAGCCGAAAGCAAAACTGAAAACCTTCCTGGCTCTGTATGAACCCTGACCCCATCCACACATGCTTCTTTTGTCTAATTTTTTAAAAAATACCCAGGGCTAATTACACAGTTTACCAACTGCCTGTCTGAAGGAGACATGTTTTCACCACTGTGGTAACATCTCTCTGTAAGAGAAACAGGACAGAACACATCTCTTTTAAAAGCACCGTAATGTCACAGCACATGACACCTTAATCAGAAGGTAACAGCTCAGAATGTACACAATTAAGTGGAGGGACGGATTTTTTAAAACTGCCTGCTAACTTCTAGGAAAAGTTCTGCTACATGATAGACAAAAAAGAACCAGGTTCTGAAATTACTTCAAAATTTACAGATTTATTTTTGGCAAAAATAAATCTCGAGAAAGACAGGATTCTTTATAATCATTACTGAAGTTTTGTCAGCATTCCAAATTTGTGGCTAATTACTCTGATATCAGATAAAAAGACTTGCAAATATTTTTAAAAATTAGCAATCACAAAGGAAAAATACATTATTGGAATGAGCATAAATGTAATTCTTAGAATCAAAGAAATATAGTACATTATATTAGAAGCCATTCAAATCAGTATGTCTTCCTTGACTATTGCTGATATGCTTGCTACCAGAGATAAAGGTCAGTCCTCATGCAGAATTAGACATAAAGCTAATGATTCGGTACTGAAATTGATAGCACAAAGATAAATTGAACATGCATACTCATTGTCTTTCAAGCCTTGCCTATGTCTTTAACTCACTAAATATTCATAAAATTTTACAGTACATAAGGATGCCATTTGACTAGAGTCTACTAGCTCCCAAAAGATCTACCCAACTAATCCCATTCCCCAGCCCTTTCTCCATAGCCCTGTAAATTTAGCACATTCAAATATATCTAAGTTCTTTTGAAAGTTCCTATGGAACTGCCTACACCACTCTCCAAGGCAATGCATTCCAAATCTTAATAACTCTGAATAAAGAGGTTTCTCCTCATCTCACTCCCAGCTTTCCTGTTGACATTCTTGAAATTGTGACCTTATAATCTGTATTTACACTTCAATAAAAACAAATCACTACATTGTGGCACAGCCAAATTAAAGAATAATAAGGAAAATTACCTTTTGCTGCATTTACGATGCCCCCTCTTACAAACGTTTTCACATTGCCTGTACCACCTGAATCAAATGACGCCAAAAATTCTTCATAGATTTCAGCTGCCTTTAGCTCCTCTTCCTGTTAAAAACAGTGGGATATATTTTTCCAACTGTTATTTATTTTCACATCTCAAAGGAACAAATACATCAATAAAGGAAACAGCTTTTAATCTGGCACTCATAATTAAAGCTACACTTTAATTTTGTTCTTAACAAATCTCAAACTCAAAACACTTACTGCCGAGATGCAAGTAACATTCCTTGTATCACTCTATAAACTGACATGTTTGAAGCAACAATATTTCAGTGGCACTCAATATGTCCATTCACTTCACATTTTTGATCTTTATATGGTTTCTGTCTTGTGCAATTTAGACCTGCACCTCAGCAGGGTAATTTACTGAAGCAGTGGTTTTTCTTTGCATTGAGCTTTCAGGCAAAGTATTTCAACAGATCTTTGAAATACAACATTGTATATCACTAAGTTTACTTGATCAACAGATTTTTTTCCATAAAATATATTAATTATTGCTCCTACAGTTTAATTTTCAATTATGGTGCAAAATCAGCATTTATCAAGCACAGGACTTTTAGAAGATTATGAAAATAATGAAAACTTTGCGAATTATCCAATCCAACATTTTTTGATTTACAACTAATTACATGAATTGTGTTTTAACACATGTAGCCTGACACGTTTCTCAATATTAAACATAACTAATGTCCCTAAATTTCTTTAACCTATAAATTCAAGTTGATGCTTTCCATAAATTTCTGAAATATTTCCTCAGATTGGTTTTTGAATTAATAACTAATCTAAATAATATGCTTATAGCTCCTTAATTTACAGCATGTCAGATTCAATTTTTTTAAATTCTCAATTCTCAAGAGACAAACAAAATCTGCAAAGCATTATTAAATGGAAACAGAAATATAAACCTTTTTTCTTAGTTCTTCTTGCCCTTTTTTGCTTAATGTCCGTTTTGAAGCGAAGCTCTTCAATTTGTTTTCTGCCATTTTCTGCAGATAAACAGAAGTATTATTTAATCTGGTTCACACACTCGGTTAACTCCAAGTTAGCAAACACTAAACATGGTAGATCATCAGGTGCTCCAATTGAGTTTCTGCTGAGGTCACATCTTAACACAGTTAAAGAAAAACTGCAAAATAGCATTATTAAAAATATTACAATTGCACTTATTATTAAAACACAAAGCTTGTGGGCTAGAGAATTACACGCAGAGGTTGAAAGGGGGCAAATAGGAATTTCAGCACAAGTTTCTGACCATGTAAGAAACATAAGTTAATGAAAAAAACACTTTTAATTCAAATGTTATACTATTTTATTTAGATTAAAAGCAAAAGTTAGTCAAACAGACATCGTGTGCTAATTCGCCTCATTCTGCGCTGCATAATTCTAGGTACACAATTTGTAACTAACATACAATGTTAATCATTACTACTTGTGCCAGTGTTCATGCTTGTCCTCAGCACAAAAGCTGCAAATGAACATACTTCAAGCTGATCTTTGGAACGACTATACTTTTCTTAAAGAACCAAAATGAAGGCCTACAGAATAAAACTCAAGGCAAAGGTTTCAAAAGAATTGATTTACAAATTTAAAGCAAAACAGCTTGCCAATAAATTTGCATATTTCTCTTCTGATGAGTCAATTGCTTTAAACAAAAAAACTACTAAATTGGAGAAAAAAAATTTTAGCGTCCAAGACATTAGCTCATGCATTACATACTAAGAATGCAAGCTGACATAATGTTCATGCCTGAACCCAATTTCCAGCAGGTACAGGGGCAAAGGCAGTATAATTTGGATCTTTCCTACAGTAGTCTGAATCATCATCAGATCATGAACTAAGGGAGTTGGCAGACAAAAAGCAGCAATCGTCAGCCTTTCATTTCCAGCTAGGCAAACAGCAACGATAGCCATGCACTAATAGATGCACTGACTGGAATTTTCTGAAGAATGAAATGAAAGGTCAATTCGGGCCACACTCCAAAGCATTACTTATGAGAATCCAAGTTTGCAACTGTTGCCTGGACATTATCTCCAGTGATTTTAGTTATTGCACCACCATGGTAACAACAGATATATGGAGACATTGAGAAACAGGTCTTTCTAGATTTAATTTTCTTGAAATAAAAATTCACCACTAATGGGCTCACGACTACTTTATGGGAAATTAAGGACGAGCAGCAAATGCCAGTGAAGCTCATATTCCATGAAAGAATAAAAATAATCTGATTGAAATGTAGTAGTAGTAATGGCTGGTGATTGTACAAACCAGTTTTGGTTGTTATTGAGTCTAATGATTCCTCGTATTTAAAAAAAAAATGCTTAGCGATTTTGCATTGCTGGGATGGAAGAAAACAGATAAAAAAATTCCACCACAGTGCGGAGTGGGAGGAACATGGCAGATCAGGCAGCATCAGAGGAACAACAAAGTCGACAGTTCGGGTCAGGACCCTACTTCAGAACTGGGGAGGGGGAAGGCAGCTTGGAAGCAAATAGAGGGAGGAGGTGTGGGGCTGGGAGAAGGTAGGTGGTATGGTGATAGGTGGATGCAGGTAGAGAGTAGTGGGGATTGGTCAGTGGAAAGGGTGGGGCAGATAGGCAGGAGGAAGATGGACAGGTTATGTCAGTTCAGGAGGCGAGAGGGAGGAGAGGTGGGGGGTGAGGTGGGATGGTGATTGTTGTTATAAGGGGTGTAATATTTTTGACAATGCCTTTTGGCTGTTATATGGAGTATCCACAGGATTGTTAAACTTTTGTTTTTAAATTTAATGCAAGACCCCACGACACTTTTATAGACAACAATAACTTAACCAACATCAAAATGGATCAACTCATTCTGGCACCTACGTCAATGCTAGGCATCCTTTTGTAGTGTGAAATGAGGCATTTGTAAAGTATTAAGATGCTAAGTAAGTGTAACCATTTTATTTATGTTATATTCTCTTCTTGTAATTGCATACTTATATATTGGTCAGTGTCCAGAGTGTCTTAGCAGATTCACCTGCAACTCTTAAACAGAAAATGGGCATACACTTCAAGGAGGAAGATTTAAGGAGTATGGGAAAAGAGGGGAGGGTGAGATGAATTAGTTATTCCTTCAAAACGCTGCCAGAGGCACGACGGGTGCGCACCAGTCCTCCCTACTAACATTTGAGTGCCTCAACAAAGACTGGGAGGGCTGTCCCAAGACTAGTAAATCAACAATATGATATAGTCACATGCACAAAATCATAATTAAAACCAATGCCCCAGCACCACCGTGTCACTGGCAAAGTCCTATTTTTGGACACTGGAAACTTTCCAGTTGTGGCGCACTACCAATATTCAGACTCAACATTAATTCTGATTCAGAAGCTCAAAACTGGACAAACATTGATCAATGCTGTGCTGTTCAGCCACATTCAGTGGTGAATGACTGTGTGTAATTAAACAACTAACCAGAACAGGAGGCTGCATACGTATACAGGTCCTGAATGACGTGGTAAGATTTTGTACATTGGTATAGAAGATGTGGATAAAGTACTTGCATCCATTGTCAGCCAGAAGTATCAAGTGTAAGATCCTTCTCAACCTACTTCTGAGGTCCCCAGCATTGCAAGTGCCAGTCTTCAGCCAATTGAATTCAAACCATGTGATGTAAAGAAAAGGCCAAGATATTGGATACTGCAAAGACTATGAATCTTGAAAGCATCCCAGTAGTAATACTGAGAATTATTGCTCCGAACAAGATGAGATCCTAGCCTGCAACCCTGGCAACGTGAAAAATTACTCAGGAATGTCCTGTCCACAAAGGAAAACAAATCCAATCCAGTCAGTTACTGTGCCATCAGTCTACTGATCCTCATTGGTAAATCAATGGAAGGTGTCATCAACAGTGTTATCAAGTGGCACCAACGTAGCAATAACTTGTTTACCAGTTTGGGTTTGATTCAACCATATTATAGCTTTCATCCAAACAAAAGAGCTGAAATTGGTGAGCTGAGTGCCATTGCCTTTGACATTAAGGATCCTTTGCAAAATTGGAATTGGTGTTATTGGTAATTGGGAGCAAAGCTTGCCTTGGTTGGAGACCTACCTGTAGGTAGGTTTGTGGAAGTCAATCATCTCAGGGCCAGGATATCATTGCAGGACAGAAACTGAACTAGAACAGCCGCATAAAATACTGTGGCTGTAAGAATAAGTCAAAGGCTAAGAACCTTTCAGTGAATAACTCACCATCTGACTTCTCAAAGTCTGTCAACCATCTACAGGGCACACACTGGGAGTGCGATGGAATACTCCCCACTTGCCTAGATGAATGCAGGTCCAACACCACTCCAATATTCACACAGTCCAGCATGAACGCAATCATTTTGATTGACAGACCCCCTCCCCCAAACACCAGTACTAATGTGTGCCATCTACAAGATGTACTGCAGCTACTCTCCAAGACCTTTCCTACCACAAAGTTCAAGGGCAACAGGTACATGGGAACACCACCATCTAGATGTAGCTCTGATAATACTGGATTTATCAGGTTTCAGTCTCATTGCTTCTTCCAGTACTTTTTTGAAATTAGCAGTTAAGCTCCTCACTTTCACTAGACCCTGATTCCCACTATTTTGCCTATGTTTCTCATAACTTGTACCGCAAAGACAGGTACAAAAAGTCTGCTTAATCAGTTTGAATTTCTACATCCCCCACATTTTCTCCCATCTCCGTCAGTCTACCACACATGGCTTTGTTTTTCTTCCATTTTACAAACTTCTGGAAGCACTTACGATCAGTTTTCATATATTTTGGTAGATTATTCTCCTTTGACTGTTTTGTTCATACTTTGTTGCTTTAGAATTCTCCCAATCCTAGTGACTACCTATTCTTGGTATTAAGTCTATTTTGTTTCTCTAATGCCATCCTTAACCTGTTTGGTTAGCCAAGATTGATTATTTTCCATCCACCCAA